ATAATTTTATCGTAAGTTGGTGAGATACTTTTCAAATTGTTCTTTTTTAACAAATTTTTATTTGATCGGAACATTCTTTTTTAACAATTTCACTCGATATAAATCACTATTATTACAGTGAGTCATGAACAGGGTCGGCCCAATCTTTAACCAACTAAATTGTTTGCCTAGGACCCCAAATTTTAGAGGGCTCTCACAATATATATCACTTTAGTATAGTAGGTCTAATTTTTTCTGTTTTATTTTATATTTTAGATATAATTAAAAATTTTAGGACCCAAATTTTATTAGTTCAAATCAGTATCTAATTTATTAGGTCCAAAATTACTCTCTACTTAGTTAAACCCAAATTTTAGAGGCATTCATAAAATTATCACTTTAATATAATAGTCCTTTTTTTTTTTTTTTGTATTTTAGATATGATTCAAATTTTTAGGGCTCAAATTTTAATAGTTCAAATTAATATCTAATTTTTTTAGGTCTAAAATTACTCATTTGTGTGAGCTTTGATTTAAAATTTTCTAAATATTTTGGGTGCGTTCATAGTTGTATTTCACTCACTCACATAGAAAATTTATATTCATTTTTTTTGAGGTGAAAATCTATAAAATTGGTTTTTTTTTTGTCTTAATATAAATTTTCAATCCAAATAATTTATACTTAAATTGTTTATTTTTAAAGTTTTATACTTCATGCATGCACATTACTCATGAGTAAAAAATGATTCTTTTTTAGCACATTACTCATGAGTAAAGAATGATTCTTTTTTAGCGAAAAATTATTCTTTGTTCACATATTCTATTATTAAATTATTGATTGAAAACTTAAATTGATAAAATTTTATTTACAATCCACTAAGAGTATTAAAATTTTATTTACAATCTACTAAAATTATTGTTAAAACTTGAGTATAAAAACTTGATCAATATTTTAAATTTTTTAAAAAATAATAAATAATTTTTTAAAACATAAAAAATTATAATAATTAAAAATAAAATATAGTAATTGACAAAATATTAATAAAATCTCGTATGAAAATTTTGCCTCGCTTGACCTTGGCTGCCCCTGGTCATGAATATTTACTTTTGAGTAAAATAAAAAAATAAAAATTCTACAGCAATTTAGATATGCTTTTCAATATATTTTTAAAAATTTCAATCAAAAAATATCACTAAACACTAATTATTACTTTTTGTCTGGAATGATGTAGCTCGAGTAGGAAAAAAATTTTAATTTTACTCTACAATGACTACGGAACGTCAACTTTTTCTTTTTCTTTTTCTTTTTGGTCAAAAAAAGTGTACGGAACGTCAATTTGGTCAAAAAACGTATACGGAACGTCGTCTTTTGTCAAAAACCGTGCGCGGCACACCATCTTTAAAGATGAACGCAAGTTCCCCTTCGTTTTGTTTTTTCTTTTTTTGGATTTTTTGAAAGTATAAAATTTATTTTATCTTGATCTTTGATATTTTAATTATATTGTAAGGGGGTAGAAATCGCTACGGATCTCATCCCTCCACTTCAAGGATTCCGGCTGACCTGACGGCACCGAGCCCCAGTAGTCTTTGCCTCTCTTCGCCAATAGGACTCTTTCCTAAGGCAATCCCACGTCGGAAGAGAATCGTTTTTTGCCTCTCTTCGCCAATAAGACCTTTTCCTAAGGCAATCCCATGTCGGAAGAGAATCGTCTTCCACCCTCGCATATAAGCTCTTGCACTCAAAGGAGGAGGTACCCACTAGCGACCTGATCAGGTGCCTAGTGGGTACCTCCTCCTTTGAGTGCAAGGGTTTATATGCGAGGGGGGAAGACGACTCTCTTCCGATGTGGGATTACCTTAAGAAAGAGTCCTATTGGCGAAGAGAGATAAAGGCTACTGGGGCTCGGTACCGCCAGGTCAGCCGGAATCCTTCAAGTGGAGGGATGAGATCCGTAGCGATTTCTACCCCTTACATATATCATTTTGATCGTTAAAGTATTTAATATATTTTTATGTGATCCCTTAAGTAGACAATATTTAAATTACTAATAATTTTTTATCATAAATTTATCACATGATAACTAAATATGGGTTAAAAATAATATAGGTAGTTCTTAACCAAAATTTTGGTAGCTCTTAACAAAAAATATGTAATATGAGAAACTCTTGACTAAAATTTGAATAATTCTTTGACTAAAATTTAAGTAAAAATTTGGTCAAGAATTATCAAAATTATTTTTTTTACCTATATTTAGGTATTACGTGATAAATTTATAATAAAAATTTTTTAGTAATTTGAATGTTATCTAGACCATTTAAAAATATATTTAATATTTCAGAGACTAAAATAATACAATTAAAATATTAATAAAAAATAAAACAAACCCAATATTTTAGAGATCTCTAATGCAATTATTCCCTTTTTTATTATTATTCATAAGTGTGTCTCTTAAGTTTGCAACTAGTCCTACTTTTGGAGTTGTCAATGGTCCTGAAAAAAAAGGGCAAAATCGATATCATACTTTTATTTATTACATTTACAAATATTTTTATCACTGTTATAAAACTTAAAAAACGATAAAAACACCAACAATAGTAATAAAAACATTCATAAAAGTGATAAAATATCTATAAAAATTATAAAAACACCTATTGAAATAATAAATTTTAAAATTATGGTACCAAATTTTTTTGTCTAGTCAAGTCCCATACTTTTTCCCCTCAAAATTGAAACAATCTCACATTATTACTTTAAATTTTTTTCAGATTGGTGGTAATATGCTTCGTTTGACGAGTGGCAGTGGGTGGTGTATTTATGAAAGCACCACGGGCCCCAAGCATGACATGTTAAGGGTCAAAATGATAAAACACATCGCCGCCTTTTATTCTTCTTTTCTCTCTTCGTCTATCCTTCTGGTTTGCACACACCAATTCCATCTCAATTGTGGTTTGGAGGGTGGTTGGTGGGTCAAGCCAGGAGGTTTATTGGACTGTAGGGATGGATTTTTGGGCAAGCGAAGCAACTAGAGTAAGAATGGGTTTTGCAGGAGGTGATTTGAGAAAAGAGACTGGAAATACTCTCCATTTCATTTTCACTCAATCAAGAACCCGGGATATTTAGCTAGACACAACGAAAAAGCGACAGAAGAGCCCCCCTAACTAACAAAAAATTACTGTAAAATTGTTTGACTTCTAGGGGATAAAGCATAATTAGTTTGCATATTCCAGGTGATTATGAGTTCAAACAACGAGAAAGTATACACTATCGGAATTTTTTTTTTATATTGTAGCAAAATTTGAGGGAAAGTCCTTGATCAATCATGAACTTTTCTTAACTAATTGTAACTTAAATTCTAAAAATTATAACTTTTATGATCGATCGCAATGTTTTAGGATCGATCATTTATTTAAAAGTTATAACTTATATATTAAAAAATTATAATTTTTGATACAATACAATCGTCGATACAATAGTCATTCCCTCAAACAATATATTTCCAAAAGCGGCATTCAAAGTTCTACTCTCTTCTCTTCGAGAAGTGTTTGCATCTACGTGATAGAGTTTTGACTGCGGGCAGGCACATCTAGAAAGGCGTAGTAGATGGGCAAATAAAAAAAAAAAAAAAATTAGTAGATGGGTAAATAAATAAGTCGATACAAATTTAATTAAACACAACATATATATGATACAAATTCAACACACAATTATCAATGAGCCGAATATTAAGTTAATAAATTTTAACACAATATAATTTACCTGATTTAAAAAACAATTCTAACTAAAATTACTGTTTGTAACGTAACGATGCCACAACCCATAAGCTCCGAATATAAGAAGTCGGTTGATTGGGGCGGCGAATACGGAACTCATATGATTATCATTTTCCTCATTGGTATATAATATACTGAAAAAGAAAAAATCAACCACCGCCCAGCAACCGGCCATCCAGTAGGGTGCAGGTGTCACTCTATAATGCGTTAAATAAAACGTTAAACAACCCAAGCTGTCCTCTTTCTCCTTTTTGTTTAACCATTATTAGTATTCAGATTAGTTTCCACAAAATACAATTAATTCTCTGCTCCGGTTGAAGGCATAAGACTAGAATATTTATAAAGAATAAATCTGTCATAACTTGACATTAAGGAGTCGTCAATATTCAAACTCATGACATTTAAATTTACAGCCCGTTCATATTACTACTTTGAGCTGCCTTGGAGCTGTCCTTTTTCTTTTTCTTTTTTTTCAATTCACCATATGAACCTATAAAAAAGGAAAGTAGCAACAGCATTGTTCATTCCACTGCAATTCTGATTCTGCCATTTGGAGTTTTCACAACCTTTACCGTCCGGATCTCAAATTGATAAGAATTTTCAATGTCAATCCAACAAAAGAGTAAAAACAATTTGAGACATATTCATACTCGTTCAGATTGAAATCGATTTCTTACTAAAAAGCTTTCAGGGAAAGTTTTCCATATTTCTCTTGCCCATCAACCATGTAAACAGTTTAGCCAGACGTCGGCTGAAAGGTACTTCCACCCCAGATTATTGGAAACAAGATTAGGTGATAACAGAGAAAAGTCTTCAATGGCTGACCATTCCTTTGCCAACTTCAACAAGAAATCTTTGGATATAAGCTAAGCTACCCACAATTACAAACTAGTAATAAAAGAAACAAAAAACTAAAGACCATTCTAGCGTTTAAATAGGGGAATCAGTCTTCGCAAAATGATAGTTAGATTGTTTATCATTAATCTATTCTAAATCCTGCCATAGATAAGAGTTTGGTATGTTGGGTACGATTTTTAAGGCTATAGACATGTTACCAAGGTAATTTGTTAACACTCTTCCACGCCATAGCGTAATTTCATAATACTAGGATGGGAAACTTCCTAGCAAAAGCTTCCATTGCCGCCTCAATCATTCTTTAAATATGATAGCAGTCCTGTGACAGAATGATAATTCTTTCCTAGCAAAATCATATTTCCTGATTTCTCAAAGAGAAGAGTTCATTAAAGAACAATGGCGAGCAAACTCCACTCATACTCCTATGGTGGCACCCTAGAGTCGCTCCTCCTTAACACCACCACTACCACCACCTTCTTTACCAAAGCCCAAAAGAGGTGGCGTAGAGCGTGTATGGCTATCTACTTCTCCCAAGTCATGTTGTCTCTCCCTGCAGAGATTCTTTTAAAGAGGAAAAATTATCACCACTTGTCGGAGAAATTAAGCTCTTCTTCTCATAAAAAGGGTAGTCCAGTGCACGAAACTCCCGTTACTGAGGAGTCTGAGAAGGGTCAAATATCCACAGTCTTACCTCCACAAGCAAAAAGGTTGTTTCCGCAATGTGAATCCTTAACGCCCAAATCAAATAACATTGTTGCTACTGCTTCGCCAAGCTGCTCTTCTTATACTGTTGTCAATATTGAACCAATGATTAGTTCCCACCATGATGGCGATGAAACTGTGCACGATGCTCACTTTACTGGCATTGAGAAAACAAAGATAGCAAAGATGGTGAAGGACAAAACTTTGGACGAGCTTCGTGGATTTGGAGGTGTCGAGGGCTTAGCCAAAGCTCTTAGAACTGACTCTGAGAATGGAATTCATGAAAATGATGATGAAATCAACGAAAGACATAGTGTATTTGGTTCAAATACTTACCAGATGCCACCCCGAAAGGGCTCATTTACTTTGTGCTGGAGGCTTTCAAGGACACCATCATTCTCATACTGCTGGTCTGTGCTGCTCTTTCACTTGGCTTTGGCATTAAAGAGCACGGCTTGGAAGAAGGATGGTACGAGGGTGGAAGTATAATTGTGGCGGTCTTTCTGGTGGTCGTAGTCTCTGCAGCTAGCAACTACAGACAGGAGAGACAATTCGACAAACTGTCAAAAATTAGCAACGACATTAAAGTTCATGCTGTGAGAGATGGAAGGCGGCAAAAGATCTCCATCTTTGATATTGTAGTTGGAGATGTGGTCTTCCTGACAATAGGAGATCAAATTCCTGCAGATGGCCTGTTCTTAGAAGGCCATTCTTTCCAAGTGGACGAGTCGAGTATGACAGGAGAGAGCGAACACGTGGAAGTAGACTCCCTGCAGAACCCATTCTTGTTATCAGGTTCAAAGGTGGGGAATGGATATGCTCGGATGCTCGTGATATCCGTGGGGATGAACACTGCATGGGGCGAGATGATGAGCTCATTAACACGTGATTCCAACGAACGAACGCCATTGCAAGCTCGGCTAGACAAATTGACCTCATCCATCGGAAAGATTGGTCTTGCCGTTGCTTTTCTGGTTCTTGTGGTGATGTTAATTCGTTATTTCACGGGAAACACAGAAGATGAGTATGGGAATCAGGAGTACAATGGAAGTAACACAGGAATCAATGACGTGTTCAATTCTGTTCTTCGTATTGTTGCTGCTGCAGTCACTATTGTTGTGGTGGCAATTCCTGAAGGTCTGCCGTTGGCTGTCACGCTAACACTGGCATACTCCATGAAGAGAATGATGGCTGATCAGGCAATGGTCAGAAAGCTTTCAGCTTGTGAGACCATGGGCTCAGCCACCGTTATTTGTACCGACAAAACTGGCACGCTGACAATGAATCAAATGAAAGTGACCAAATTTTGGCTCGGCCAAGAAGAAATGGGAGAACATTACTCTAGAGCAATCGCCAAAGATATCATTGCCTTGCTCCACCAAGGAGTCGGTCTAAACACTACAGGTAGCATTTGCAAACCACTTTCGGGAATTGTACCAGAGTTTTCTGGAAGTCCAACTGAAAAGGCAATCCTTTCTTGGGCTGTCCTGCAACTCGGTATGGATATTGAGAAATTGAAGCAAAATTCTACCATTCTTCATGTTGAGACCTTCAATTCAGAGAAGAAACGAAGCGGGGTTTCCATGAGGAATAAAGCCAATAACACCATCCATGTGCACTGGAAAGGAGCAGCCGAGATGGTACTGGCAAGGTGTTCGAGTTACTATCAAAGTAATGGACAAATGAAGCCAATAAGTGAAGAAGGAAGGCAACAATTTGAGAATATAATCCAAGGAATGGCAGCAAGTAGCCTCCGTTGCATTGCTTTGGCTCATAAGCAGATTCTAGAGGAAGAAACACAATGCAATGAAGATGGCAAAACAAACCGAAAGCTAGAAGAAGATGGGTTGACCTTGCTAGGGATAGTTGGTCTCAAGGATCCATGTAGACCAGGGGCAAAGAGAGCCATTCAAGCTTGTAGATCTGCAGGAGTGGAGATCAAAATGATCACTGGAGACAACGTATTCACAGCAAAAGCTATAGCCAGAGAGTGTGGAATTTTCACAGCCGATCAACACCTGAACGATGGAGAAGTGATAGAAGGTGCCGAGTTCCGCAATTACACACATGAAGAGAGAATGCAAAAGGTTGATAATATCCGTGTGATGGCAAGATCCTCCCCCTTTGACAAGCTTATGATGGTGCAATGCTTGAAACAGAAAGGTCATGTGGTCGCAGTAACCGGAGATGGAACGAATGATGCACCTGCATTGAAAGAGGCTGATATAGGACTTTCCATGGGAATTCAAGGTACTGAGGTAGCCAAAGAGAGCTCTGATATCATCATCTTGGACGATGATTTCGCCTCTGTGGCCACAGTTTTGAGGTGGGGTCGATGTGTTTATAACAATATCCAGAAATTCATTCAATTTCAACTGACTGTGAACGTTGCAGCTCTTGTAATAAACTTTATTGCAGCGGTTTCTGCCGGTGAAGTTCCCCTAACAACAGTTCAGTTGTTGTGGGTAAACCTCATCATGGATACTTTAGGAGCTCTAGCACTTGCTACAGAGCGTCCCACTAATGAGCTAATGCACCGTCCACCCGTGGGTCGAACTGAACCCCTCATAACAAACATTATGTGGAGAAACCTTTTGGCACAAGCTCTATACCAGATAGCCATCCTCTTGACCTTACAGTTCAGGGGTAGGTCAATATTCAATGTTACTGATAAGGTGAAAAATACTCTAATCTTTAATATTTTTGTACTCTGCCAAGTTTTCAATGAATTCAACTCAAGGAAGTTGGAGAAAAAGAATGTATTCACAGGTATTCATAGAAACAGACTGTTTCTAGGGATTGTGGGAGTAACAATCGTTCTTCAGATTGTAATGGTGGAGTTCCTAAAGAAATTTGCAGATACAGAGAGGTTGAATTGGTCACAATGGCTAATGTGTGTTGCGATTGCAGCTTTATCTTGGCCAATTGCTTGGCTCATCAAATTCGTACCTGTAGGAAACAAACCACTCCTCAGCTACATGCAAAGACTGAGATTCAGATAAACAAAACACTTCGGCCAGCTCTGCCTAGTTACTGAACAACCCTCTCGCTCCAGCCTTGAAACCAATTTTGTGAAAGGTGAAGGCCAAAACCATTACAGATTGGATGAAGTGACAAAGCTTCAAGATCCAGACAAGTGATTGATGGGCCAGGTCCAATGGCCCAACTCATGTTATAAGCCCAGTTTAAATTAAGAGCCCAACTTGAAGAGATCCAGTGGGTCTAGTCCAAAAGAGGCTCATGCCCCAATCAAGCTCATCAGGATTCTGGAAGCTACGTCGTCAAAGAGGCAGGGCCATCTTGAAAGCCTCATCCACGCCGCCTTGAAAAAAAGTCAACCATCACATCATCCTTGGACCTGATCTCAAGGGGAGCTCCATAAACTACATCATCCTGTTGAGAAAATATCATCAACTCACCAGATTAGCTATTTAGTTACTGATAACCACCTCAATCTGTTAGGAGACACTTATAAATTGTAAGCCCCGCCAATACTTAGGGGCATCACACTTAATCGAGCACATCTGTTATCACTCTCCTCTCTCTCTTATAGCTTGTATCTCCCTGTTGTCTCTACACTCCTCGAATTAATAAAATACTCAGGTCATCCGAACCCTTCAAAATGGACATAGGTCACGTTGACTGAACCACTCTACATCATTATCTTGCTTGAATTATTTTCTCTTTCTACTTTATTACTACATTAATTATTAATCACTTGACCGGTGGTGCATAAACCAAATTTTTACATCATTAGTTTGGCGCCGTCTGTAAGAAAATCAACAAAATTCTCACCTAATCACTTTTCTAGCCATACCTATGACGATCACCACCAGATCCATGAATCAGTTTGAAGACAATCCACTACGAGAGGAGGAGGTTGCTCCTCCACCAACCAATCATGTTCAAACGCACAACAAATGCTGGAGATAATGCAACAGCTCATAGCTCAAAATCAGTAGATTTGTAACTAATGCTCACTAGACAACAAGAAAGAGAGCACAGCCCAGAAGACCTTAAGCCAGAAGAGCTCCACGCCCTGAGCGTAAGAAACTCCC